TCACAACTGCTAATGAGAACCTTAAATTGGGTTACTAGTGTCATGCTCTTGAAACTTCTAATGACACCTAAACTGCAGTTGTTTCTTATTCCCGTTTATTTTTCTTGAACAAGGTGAAATGTGGGGATGGAAAAAAAACAAGATAAAACTCGATACTTAATTTCAATTATCATTTTTTTTGAAAGGCCAAAGAAACATTTTATTATTTGAGTAGAAGGGACACTCAAACCCGCATATATAGCAAAGCTATAGTCATCTTAACAACAATTAAGCACTAATTCCCCTTGGTTTTCTGCCTTGTTTAAGTATCAAACACCACTTGGATTAAGCACTTAATTTCAATTATTTTAGTTTTACTTGATGAAATATCTTTTAACTTTAGAACTGAACTGTGGCATTTAAGCAACCATTTTCTAATGTAAGTTCTTTCTCCACATCTTTTTTTCCTTTCTGTTTCCTCTGGTCCAGTGTTTTTAAAGGTGAACCAAAGTCACACTCACGCAACTGAAATTTCAATTTGTATTATTTTCTATAAGTTTCAGCTCCTCTCAGAAAAGACTATTCCTTATTGACTAGAGACACAAATCAAATCTCCATCACCATTCGGTACAAACAATTCTAATGAGCCTTATTATGTCAATGCATATTTATGACAGGAAGACATAACCCCCCACCCTCTAACAAGGAGACTTAAGCAAGGGTCACCATAATGTTCTCAACCCAGAAATATTGACTAGGGAAATTTGCAAAGACCATTCAAGTGAGCTTAAGAAATTCGTAACTACTTTTTTCATGGTTTAATTAGCTCCATTCAAACTTAAATCCTTGAATTGAATAGGGAACTCGTAGATAGCACTAATGCTTCCAGATAGGTATTTTTCTCATAGTTGCAACATGCACAAACCCATAGACACTTCAATTAATTCATTTATTCATGTCATCATTCTATACATTGAATTCAAATTATAAAAACATCCCTACTCCTTCTCCCAACTAAAATCTCAGATTCTCAGGCAAATAAGTCCTCAAAAAAACAAGGGTAAACAAAGGATTTCTGTATATCATCGGAGGAAAGGATGATAAAAAACCATGAATCCTAAATAAAACATGAGTTACACATATCCTTTCCACAAAATCTTTATCATTCATTTCTTTAGATTAAAATTTATATGGTGCTAAATCTGAATCAATCATTCATAATAGAGAGACTAATAATCAAGATTTTGTATAACAATTATGTAAGGAAATCTTAAGACAGAACATACATACATACCTGCAATTTGGATAAAACAGGAAATGATTATCCAAACAATTCTTCCAAACGCTAGACCGTCAGCAGTCGAAGGTGAGAGGCGCCGGTCGATCACATCCTTCTGATAGGCATTAATGGGGTTGATGAGAAAGTTGATAATGAAAAAAGAAAAAAAAAATCAAATTGAAATATTCCAAACTGAAATTAGTAAAATGTGGAGAACTAAATTGCAATTTAAATGTAATGATTCTTGACCTTATGGTGAAAAGGAAACTTTTTTACACAATGTGTTAGATGAACTTTTTTACCTCAACTGCAACCGTTAATGGATCCGGCCCGAAATGTACCCTTTTTGCTAATTTTGCGGTCAACCGCCGCCTGTTTCTCGGGTCATCGGCGATTACAAACGAAGAGGAAGCAGAGGAAGTAGACCTGGCAAAAATCCCCTCGAGCCGTCAACCCGAATTTAACTCGACCCGTAAAAAGTGAATTAGGGTGTACATATCTCAATCCACAATCTCTGTATTATCAATTTGTATGGATTACGAGTCAAATTAAGGTTAACAACAGGTTTACTCGTTTATTTTATTTTTTATTATTATTTTTAAATATTATATTTATTATTCTTAATTATTTTTTTATTGGTAACTCCTTTTATTAATTCATATTTTTTAATTTTTTTTTTAAAAAAAATTATGATAAGTTTAATCTAATTACCCAAATATCATTTTTTTTTTGGTATTAACAATTAATCAAATATCATGAATAAAATGATAATGCAACTAAAAATATTAAAAGACATAATATTAAGACATAAACATAATAACTTAGTGAAAGATGTTTTTGGAAGAGCAATTTCATCATTAAAAAAATAGATTAAACTACTTGATAATGTTTCAAGATGATTATAAAATTAAAATTTTATTTTAATTTTTCAAGAAATTTAAATATTTTACGTTTAATATTTTTATTGTTAATCAATTTATTATTATTTATAATTTTTTTATTTTTTTCTTAATTTAAATATTTGTG